AAATACAAAAAAGGCTGGGCGTGGTAGCTCACATCTACAATCCCAGCACTTTGGGAGGGCGAGGCGGACGGTTCACCTGAGGTTGGAAGTTCGAGACCAGCCTGACCAAATGTAGAAACCCCGTCTCTACTAAAAATACACAATTAGCTGAGCGTGGTGGCGCACGCCTGTAATCCCAGCTACTTGGGAGGCTGAGGCACGAGAACTGCTTGAACCCAGGAGGTGGAGGTTGCAGTGAGCTGAGATCGCATCACTGAACTCTACCCTGGGCAACAGAGTGAGACTGTCTCAAAAAGAAAGATAAAGCGGATGGAGATAATGATAGTACTTCCAGCACAGAGTTGTGAGAATGAAATACCATAATCCAGGAAATGTGTTTAGAGCACAAATGTTATGTGGTTATAGTTTAGTAGCTACCCAGAGTAAGCAGCCATAGCCTGGGGTTTCTTCTGGTCATACCCTGCCAGGAAGAGGAGGTCTCCTTTGTTAACTCTGACTCCCCTGAGATCTTAGCATTGTCGCCTCCATCAGTTTCATTGATACTTCCTTTCTGTGCTGTCTTGTTCTGTGAGGTGGTCCCTGTCATCTCTCCAGGCCCATTTCCTGCTACCCTGGGCCCCACACATCACTTGCAGTTAGCTAAGCACCCCTTACTCTCTGACATCTCTGTGCCTTTGCATATATCTGTTTGGAATGTCCACCCCTTGGGTTGCCTAGCAAAACCCTATTTGTTCTCTTTAGCTCAAACCAGTCACCACTTGGGTGAAGCATTTTTCCCACCTTGAGGCAGATTTAATCTGTCCTGTTGCCTGTTGTCTGTACCCCTATCACAGCTCAGATTACTCTGCATTACAATTACTTATGTGTCTTCCTCTGCCACAGACAAGGTGTTTCATGAGAGTAAGAAATGTATCTTATTTATTCTGTGCCCCCTACCCCAGCATCTAGCACAGGGGTTGGTACAAGTGGAGGTTGAGAGATGTTGAGTGATAGAATGAATTAATGGATGGATAGTGGGTGTTGGCTTTTTGCCAGCATCACGGGTTCTAGGATATTTGAATGCCCCAAGGACAGGGTGGGGTTAATGCAGGGCACAGCATGCGTCAGCTGTCTTACTGCTTAATAGGCAGTCAACGATTTGGCTAATGAAGATAGAGATAATGATGGCAATAAAATGGTTCTGTAGGCTGACCCAGAGCCACAGCCACTCTCCTGCTTTCCAGTGAGTCATCCCTGGCTGGGCCTGAGGACAGGAATCATGGCTGAGAGGTAGATGATCAGTCAACAGTGGCTGAACTGGCTCCAGACCGCCTGATCCTGGCCATGACTCACTCCAGCTTGTGCTGCTGACAAGAACCCTCCAGAATTACACAGGTTTGAGTACAAGTCTCAGCACAGGCCAGGTGCGGTGGCTCACGCCTGTAATCCCAGCACTTTGGGAGGCTGAGGTGGGTGGATCACTGAGGTCAGGAGTTTGAGACCAGCCTAGCCAACATGATGAAACCCTGTCTCTACTGAAAATACAAAAATTAGCCAGCTTGGTGGTGGGCGCCTGTAATCCCAGCTACTCGGGAGGCTGAGGCAGGAGAACTGCTTGAACCCGGGAGGTGGAGGTTGCAGTGAGCGGAGATCGCACCACTGCACTCCAGCCTGGGCAACAAGAGCGAAACTCCGTCTGAAAAAAAAAAGAGTCTCAGCACAGACAGTGATCAGCCCAGACCTTAAGTTACATACCCATCTGAGCCTGTTTCCTCCTCTTCCCTCATTAGCAATGAGATACAGATCCCAACCCAGGATGCTGATCATGGAGACATTCTTCCCCACTTTTGGAAAGCCTACAGTCTCATGGAGAAAGCACAATTCCCCTTACTACATTGTACCATAATTATCTCTTTAGTTTTGCCGTATTTGTCTTTATGTTCCTTGCACAAGGCAAGGAAGTAGGGCACGGGGAATGACTCAAGAAATGCAGGCAAGAAACAGAAGTGTAGCTCCCAAACCATGTGGACTGGTAGGGAAGAAATTTGAAAAGGATCAAGATAGAGATTTTTCTTGTTGTTTTTTTTATTTGTTTTGAGACAGGGTCTTGCTCTGTTGCCCAGGCTGCAGTGCAGTGATGCTACCATGCTCACTGCAGCCTCCAACTCCCAGCTCAAGTAATCCTCCCACTTCAGCCTCTCGAGTGGCCAGGACTACAGGCATGAGCCACCATACCTAGCTTATTTTATTTTATTTATATTTTTGAGACGGAGTCTTACTCTGTTACCCAGCCTGGAGTGCAGTGGTGCAATCTCGACTTACTGCAACCTCTGCTGCCCCAGTTCAAGCGGTTTCCCTGCCGCAGCCTCTGGAGTAGCTGGGATTACAGACATCTGCCACCACACCTGGCTAATTTTTGTAGTTTTAGTAGAGACGGGGTTTCACCATCTTGGCCAGGCTGGTCTTGAACCCCTGACCTTGTGATCCCCCAGCCTTATTTTTTAATTTTTTTGAGATAGAGTCTCACTCTGTCGCCCAGGCTGGAGTGCAGTGGTGCGATCTTGTCTCACTGCAACCTCTGCCTCCCAGGTTCAACTGATTCTCCTGTCTCAGCCTCCCAAGTAGCTGGAATTACAGGCGAGTGTTGCCATGCCTAGCTAATTTTTGTATTTTTAGTAGAGACAGGGTTTCACCATTGTTGGCCAGACTGGTCTTGAGCTCCCAACCTCAGGTGATCCGCTTGTCTTGGCCTCCAAAAGTGCTGGGATTATAGGTGTGAGCCACCGTGCCTGGCCCCTAGCTAATTTTATAATTTTTTGTAGAGACAGGAATCTCACTACATTGCCCAGGCTGATCTTGAACTCCTGGGCTCAAGCGATCCTATCACCTCAGCCTCCCAAAGTGCTGGGATTACAGGCATGAGCCACCAGTAGTGCCTGGCAAGGTAGACTTAATAAGGGAAGCTATTTGGATGACGGAAAAAATTAAATAAGTTGAGGAAAAAAGCCTAGGGTGGGGCATGGCAGGGAATGCTTCCTAATGGTTGTTCAGGGCTAGAGAAGGGGAAGGGTAAGAGGTGGGAAGATCCAGCTTTTTTCAGAGGTGGGAGGATTCAGAGAGGTGTGGCAGTTAATTAATAGAGGCAGAAACTGGCAGGGCATAAAAGATGTAGAATGACCCTAAATCCCTGAATCTTCTGGATTTGGGTCCTATGGGGGAAACAGGGCTTCTGCTCTTGAAAGAGTGGTTTCATGCGTCTCCAAGGTTACACAGGGTGATGTGTGCCAGAGGGATGGGGAGGGCAGGTAGAGAGAGGCCCGGGAGCCTGAGGTCTGAGTTTGGGGCATCTGGTGGGAGGTGGGGGGATGCAGGACTTGTTCTGGGCCCTGAAGGATGCCTTTATTGGGGATTTGATTTGGTCCCAGCTGGGGACAGTTGTTGAGCTGAGAGGAGGATGGACATTGAAGTCACCACGGGGAAAGAGGATGAATGGTTAGTTGGGGTCCCAAATGCCAGGCAGAGCAGTTGGCCTGGGCTCACAGGCTCTGAGAGGACCCTGAAGATGTGCAGACACAGGTCTGCCTACTTAGGGGGCCACTTTTCCCTTTCCTGTGACACGGGGAAGATGAACACACTCTGGATGGGGGTGTCTCCACACTGTGTGCCCCACCCTCAGGTGCAAGGGTGCGTACTTGTGCTGTGTGACTGTGTCAGGGTCTGCAGTACGTTGCTGAGTGACTGTATCTGGGCAGTGCTTTTCTGGGCTGTAAGTGGGTGGTTGGAGAGTCTGTTTTCTGGGTCCGTGTAGGCGTGCCTGAGTTGTACATCTTAGTGTGTGTGTGTGTTGGGGGGGTCCAAGTTGTGTTGTTTGTATTTGTGTGAGATCTCAGCTGTGTTTTTGTCTCTATCTGGTGTCTGACTTGTGAGTGAGAGGCTGGGCAAGGGACAGGGTTCCCCTTGCTGCTGGCACTGGGTCACCATAATGGGTACGAGGCCAATCAGCTGTCGTCCTAACCTGGGGGGCTTAGAGAAAGGCCTGAATGATGACACCTAGACTCTTATCCCCAAGTGAATGGCCTCTTATTGAGCAATCATTAACTGGGCACCTGTGAGAAGAATCCAAACTGTTATGGTGAAGGGGGTGGGAACTGGTCAGGGCAGGACTTACCGCTGGCGAAAGGGGGAGGCCAGAAAATCCTATAGGCATGTGTGTTGTTATCACTCCTTCCTGCCCACCCTTCGGGTCACTCACCCTTACCCATGGCGACTGGGTCAAAATATTTAACAAACAGTGAGGCACAGACATTGACCAATCAGAATAGACACAAGTCATATTCTGAATGGAGCAATCAGGGAGGTCATGACTATGCCAAGAGTTGCCTCTTTAGTTGTTAGACAGTGGGAATGTCTGGGAGGAGAATCCCAGGAGAGGGGCTGGGGCAGAGGGGCAGGGAAGGAAAGTTGGGAGGCCTCAGGGCAGTGGCTATGATCCAAGTGTCATGGAAGGGTTTCAGACTTAAACAACTGATGTAGTCAAATCCTGGTGGTCCAGCTAAACCTTGCTCTGCCTTGGCGTTCAAGTAGTTGCCAGGCCAGCCCTGGGTGCCCTTGTCCCTTCCCTTTGGGAAAATAATGGACCACCGTCTTTTGTCATCTGCAGGAATGGGGGAAGTGAATGATCTTAAACTGCAGAAATGGCAGTGACCTTGTCTGTTTCAATTTGGGAATGGACTGCTTCCTGATTGGCTGTGATTGGGCTTTAACTGTGGTGAGAGGGCGCATGAAGTGGGTAGGAGCCAGGAGAGTGGTTAGTGAAGGGTTTGGGAACAGGAGAGCAACCTCCTTCCCCTGAGGATAAAGGCAATGAGGTGATGGGATTGTGAACTGATACTGTTCCCTGGAAAATTAGTTCCAGCAACCCTGTGGATTTTTTCCCTTGGGCTACCTCTGATAGGAGCAGGGTGGGCCCTGGAGGTGAGACAGTCCCTTCTATATGCACAAACGACAGTATCAGGCTCCAAGTGTTTCATACCTTTTATTACAAAAATCAATAACTTAATTCAGTTCTGTATAAAGTCAGTAGGACTTCTGGTCCAATGAGCAGCCTAAGCTTTCATTCCCATCCCAACAAGGGACAGGAGTCTTGGCCCAGAGGCTGTGGGGACCACCAAGAGCCTTCCAGGCAGCTGGAGCACTGTGTCCAAACCAAGGAAGTCCAATGTGGGGTGTGGCTGAGTGAAGGGCTGTTCCTAAGGAGCCAAGTGCTGTCTATACAGCCTTGCCCCCTCCGGGAGCATTGGGTCACCTCTGGGGATGGCCAGGCTGAATCAGCACTGCCAGCCTCTGCCCACCTGATCTCTGCCTGGGCTGCAGCTGGTCACCTCAGCAAGAGCATGTCCCCAAGAAGGCCAGCGATGTCAACATCTCCAATGATAGGGCGAAAAAAGAGGTCCCCAAGCAGGCTGGTCGGAATGGACTTGAGGGTGGAGGCTGTGAAGAGGACACGGGCCAGGCGGCCTTGGGCTGCTGGGCACCAGGGCTCCAGGACTTCACACAGCGCCCAGTGAGCCTCCTGCTGCAGGTGCCCAATGTGGGAGGCGGCTTGGAGGCCTGGCACATCTGTGGGCAGAGAGGGAGAAGAGGGTTGGTGAGCATCCTACTCCCAGCCACCAAAGGAAGAGACTGGCCCAAGATCTGGGCCATCAGAGACACCCCTCTGCCTCCTTTGCTCGGCCTTTGAGGTCCCACTACTACCTCCTCCTTTGGAGGAGGTAATTTATTTATCAATTTCCATTGTATTCATCCATCCATTTATGAAGAGGCAGTATGGAGTAATGGTTAAGAATCAGGTTTCCTGAGTATGAATCCCAGTACTGTCACTTAGCTGGGTGACCTTGGGCAAGTAACTTAATCTCTGGGCTTCAGTTTCTTTATTTGTAAAACGAGGATAATAATATTAATAGGACCTGTCTCCTAGGTTTTTTTTTTTTTTTTTTTTTTGAGACGGAGTCTTGCTCTGCCGCCCAGGCTGGAGTGCAGTGGCCGGATCTCAGCTCACTGCAAGCTCCGCCTCCCGGGTTCACGCCATTCTCCTGCCTCA